CAGTTTGGATGTACTCTATTTCTGTTAGTTGTCTGATTTCTGTCCCTAGGACTTCCAATACTATGTTGAATAAAAGCGGTGAGAATGGACATATCTGTCCTAATTGTAGAGGAAAAGCAATCACCTTTCTCCCCATTTAGGATTATATCATCTGTGGGTTTTTTATAGATGGACTTTTTTATGCTCAAGTATTTTCCTCTAAACCTACTTTGTTAACTGTTTTTAGCAGGAATGGATGTTGTACCTTGTCAAATGCTTTTTCTGCATCTCTTGAAAAGACCATATAGTTTTTATACATTCTTTTATTAATGTGGTATATCACTTTGATTGACTTGCAAATATTGAGCCACCCTTGAAGCCCAGGAATAAATCTCACTTGATTGTGATGAATGTTTCTTTTAATGTACTGTTGGATTTGGTTTGCTAATTTTTATTGAGAATTACTGCATCCATGTTCATTAGGGATATTGGTCCCGTAGTGTGTTCTCTCTCTCCTGTTCATTCTCTCTCTCTCTCTCTCTCTGTCTCTCTGTCTCTCTGTCTCTCTCTCTCTCTTTTGGTGTCTTTATCTAGTTTTGGAATCGTGGTAACACTCACCTTACAGAATGAATTTAGAAGTTTTCCTTCCCTTTCTATTTTTATCTTATTTTGTCTTGATTTCAAGATTTGTTTTATCACTATATTTTGTCAATTTAAATAGGTCTTGGCATTGACCTGCTTTTGTTTGAGAAGAACAAGTATTAACTCTTCTTTAGATGTTTGGTAGATTTGCCCATGAAGTCATCTGGTCCTGGACTGCTGTGTCCTGGGAGATTTTTAATTCCTGATTCAATTTCATTGCTGGTTATTGGTCTTTTTAAGTTTTCTTTCTTCCCATTTCAATTTTGGTAGTTTATATGTTTCTAGGAATTTATCCATTTATTCCAGATTGTCCGATCTGTGAGCAAATAGTTTCTCATAATATTCTTATAATTGTTTGTATTTCTGTGGTGTTGGCTATTATTTCTCTCATCACCTTTGTGATTTTATTATTTGGGTCATTTATCTTTAATCTTTGATATGTTTGGCTACAGGTTTATCAATTTTATTAATTTTTTCCAAAGAACCAGTTTCTGGATTCATTGATCTTTTCTATTGTTTTTTTTTTAAACTTTCTATATCATTAATTTCAGCTGTAATCTTTATTATTTCCTTAATTCTGGTGGCTTTAGGCTCCTTTTCTTGTTCTTACTAGCTCTTTTAGGTATAAGATTAGGTTGTTTGAATTTTTTTCTTGCTTCTTGAGATAGGCCTGTATTGCTGTATACATCCCTCCTAGGACCACATTTGCTGCATCTCAAAGCATCGGACCGTTTTTATTTTCCTTTGTTTCCACGTATTTTTTATTTATTATTTGATTTCCTGATTGGCCCATTCATTCTTTAGTAGCATGTTGTTTAACTCCCATATATTTGTTGTCTTTCCCTATTATTTTTTTGTTTGTTTGCAACTTCAAGTTTCACAGCATTGTGGTCAGAAAAGGTGCATGGCATGACTCGAAACTTTGTGCTGAGCCGTGTTTTGTGACCTAACATGTAATCTATTCCAAAGAATGTTCCATGTGCACTTGAAAAGAATGTGTATTCCAGTATTTAAGGATGGAATATTCTGAATATATGTGTTAAGTCCATCTTGTCCAGGGTGTCATTCAAAGCCACTGTTTCCTTATTGATTTTCTATTTAGATGATCTGTCCACTGATGTAAGTGGGTTGTTAGAGTCCTCTATGATTGTTGTATTATTATTAATGAGTTCCTTTATATTTGTTATTGTTTTATACATTTGGGTGTTCCCATGTTGGTTTCATAAATACTTAAATTGTGATATCTTCTTTTTAGATTGTCCCCTTTATTATTATATAGTGCCTTTCATTATCTTTTGTTATACTTGTTTAAAAGTCTACTTTAGGGGTGTCTGGGTGGCTCAGTTCGTTAAGCCTCTGACTTCAGCTCAGGTCATGATCACATGGTCCATGAGTTCAAGCCCCACATCGGGCTCTGCGCTGCCAGCTCAGAGCCTGGAGCCTGCTTCAGATTCTGTGTCTCCCTCTCTGCCCCTCCTCTGTTCATGCTCAGTCTCTCTTTGTCTCTCAAAAATAAATAAATGCTAAAAAATTTTTTTAAAAATAAAATAAAATAAAATTCTACTTTGTCCAATATAAGTATTGCTACTCTTTCATTGGAAATCCATCTCTGTGACAGATGTTTGTCCATCCCCTCACTTTCAATCTACATTTGTCTGTATGTCTAAAATGAGTGTCTTGTAGGTGGCATATAGATGGATCTTGGTTTTTTTTTAATCCATTCAATCACTCTATGTCTTTTGATTAGACCATTTAATCCATCTACATTCAAAGTATTATTGATAGATACATATTTATTGTTATTTTTATTACCAGTTTTGTAATTGTTTCTGGAGATTCTTTCTGATCTTTTCTCACCTTTCTCACATTCATGGTTTGCAGATTTTCTTTAGTGATATAATTGGATTTTTTCTCTTTATTCATTGCATGTTTATTAATGGTTTTGATATGTGGTTACCATTCAATTTATACAAAATTTCTTCTGCAAATAGCACTCCATATTAAGGTGATGTTCATTCAGATTTGAAATTATTCTTTCCTCCTTTCCGCCTCACAATTTAGGTATATGTTATTATATTTTCTTTTTTGTGTGTATGAGTTCCTGACCGATTTTTATGAAATTATTCATTTTTACTGCTTTACTATTTCCTGCCTTTATTCTGTCACTTTTGGTCTCTCCTTTGCATTCAACGAATCCCCTTTAATATTTCTTGCAGGACTGGCTCAGTGGTCATGAATGCCTCTGGTTTTTGTTTGGAAAACTCTCTACCTCTCCTTCTATTCTGAATATTAGCCTTGCTTGATAGAATATTCTTGGCTACAGATTTTTCCAATTCAGCAAGTTGAATATAGTATGCCACTCTCTTCTGGCTTACAAAGTATCTGTTGGGAAATCAGCTGCTAGCCTTGAGGGCCTTCCCTTGTAAGTTAAGGACTTCTTTTGTCTTGCTGCTTTTAAGATTTTTTCTTTATCACCACATTTTACCAATTTAATACACAATGTCTTGGTGTTGGCCAGCTTTTGTTGATTTTGATGGCCGTCCTCTCTGCCTCTTGGATCTGGATGTCTATTTCCAACCCCAGATTAGGGAAGTTTTCAGCTATTATTTCTTCAAACAAATCTTCTGCCCCCTTTTCTCTCTTCTTCTTGGAAATCTATAATATGAAAGCTATTGCATTTGATGGTCATTGAGTTCCCTAAGTCTATTCTTACTTTGCATAATTCTTCTTTCTCTCATTTTTCAACTTCATTACTTCCCAAAGGGGCTTACTTTGTCTTCTAGGTCATTAATTCGTTCCTCTGCTTCTTCCAGACTGCTGTTGATTGCATCAAGATATTTCTAATCTTATTTATTGCACTCGTCATCTGATTCTTTTTTAATTATTTTATCTCTGTAGTTAAGCTGTCACTGATGTCTTCTTTTCTCAGTCCCAGTCAGTATCCTTAAGATCTTTGCTTTTAATACTCCATCAGGCATGTTACGTATATCTGTTTCCCTTAGATTTCTGGCTGAGGCCTTATCTTGTTCTTTCCTTTGGGATATATACCTTTGTCTTTGCATTTGTCTAAGTCTCTGCCTTCTTCTGTAGGATAGAAAATCCAGTTTTATCTTCTGCTCTTTTGTTCCTAGAGAGGTGTCTCTGTGAATACTGCCTAGTAAGGGCAAGCTCAGAGAATAGCAAATAATCTCCCTACTGTGTGCCCCAGGTGCTCTTAAAATCACTGTTTCAAAGACATCTGTCTCTACGTTGTTTGTCAGCCTTCTCTCCAGGCTCAGGGCAATGCCCTCAGGGCTCTATCCCAGCCAAACCTGTTGACCTTTAAAACGCCAGGCTTTAAGCCTTGCTGGTTGCAAGAACTCAGAAAATTCAGTGGGTCTAATTTTCCAAGCCAATGGCTTTGGGGAAATGTTCTCCTGAGCAGTCCCCTGCATGTTCCTCTCTCTCTCTCTCTCTCTCCCTCCCTCCCTCCCCTGCTAGTTCTTGAGTGCTTGCTCTCTCCCTCTCTCTCTCTCTCTTTTCCCCCTTCTCCATGACCATGGCTCCATCCCCTCCTCAGCAGCTGTGATCTGTTTGTCCCAAAACCATATCTTTGCACTTCCTACCTTCCTCCTTGTGGCCTCTTTTCTCTCTTTAGTTGTGAAGTTTGTTCTGTCAGTCTTTAGGTCAATTTCTGAGGTATTTAGAATGATTTGATAGTTATCTAGTTGTGTTCTTGGGACAAGCTGAGCCTAGAGTCCTACTTCCTTCTCCTCCTCCCAGGCATTATTTTCCCTCTACAGTTTTTTCTTTGTTTGTTTGTTTAACTCTCTGTCTTCCCAATTCTATTCCATATAAACAACAAGATACCTTGTGCTATTTTCTGGAAAACGAACTTTGGTCTGCTTTTCTTCACAGAAAGAGAAACACAAATTAGTTAATTGAAAAACAGAGTCAATGTGCCAGAGACTACGAAATACTAGCAGACGCAAATAAGACAGCCCCTACTTTTCAGAGCTCATAGTGGAAGCGATAGTCAGGTAAGAATGTTTTAACTCAAAAAACACACTTCTGAAGGGGTTCAGTCAGTTAAGTATCTGACTTCAGCTCAGGTCAGGATCTCGCCATCTATGAGCTCCAGATGAGTGTTGGCTCTGTGCTGACAGCTCAGAGCCTGGAGCCTGCTTCAGATATTCATTCATTCATTCTCTCTCTCTCTCAAAAAGAAACATTTAAAACATTAAAAGAAACATACTTCTGAAAATAGTTCTGGTGTATCAACAAGTTTCTGGTCTTTTACATGATATAAATACAGTCCATACAAACACACATACTTAAAACCCAGTACTACTCTGGGCACACACATTTTAAAATTAAAAAATAATAAGGGTCAAACTTACCATCATTTTTTCAAAAAGATCCAGTACTTCCTTTTCTGACAAATTCAAGGACCGTTCATCATACAATGGCTGAGCTGCTGGAAACTCACTCATTGCAACTTGAGAATCAATAGGATGCTGAATAAGAGGTTTTTCTTTTTTGACAGTAGATTTTCTGAAACTTGTAATTCGGTCACGCTACAAAGAGAAAGGAATATAAGAAACTCTAAGAATGAAATCCAGAAGCAGAAATATGAAGTACTGAAACATCAAAATAGTACTTAGTATAATATGTCATTATTGTCTTCTGACAAACTCTTATTTTAAGCAAGAATTTCTAGTTAGAGATTGCACAATTTTGAAACCTTTTAATTCAGTCTCAGAAGTCTGAGGTGTGAAAAGTATTCCTCCACAGTAAATCTTAGTCCCTCTTCATTTCCATTTTACACTGTAAATAAGTAATAAAAGTCTTGCATCAAAATCATGCAGTTGTTTAAGGGACAATATAGCTTTGGTGGCAACTTTTGAACTGAGAAATAAAGGAATATTCAATTCCAGTGAGGGAAATTACAGTAATGTTTCTCTCTTCAAAGTGCCAAAAACTGTGACAAGTATTTATGGATACCTTGTCGGTATAATGGTCAAGTATAATAGTTAATAACAAAGACTCTGAAGCCAGACTGCCTGGGTTTGAATCTGTCATTTATTAGCTGAGGAATCCTGAGCAAATTACATGCTCTTTCTGTTTCCTCATCTCTAAAATACAGATAACAAGTTAATATATGTTAAATAAATAAACAATATATTACCTATACTGTAGGGTTATTATGAATTCAAATAAGTTCATATGTTTAGTGTACTTAACTACTATTTATTATTCTTGTTATTATTATTTCCCCTACTTTTTTCCCCCTAAAAAATGAGGACAACAAGACATCACCTTTTCCATTTAATGGAAATGTTAAGATAAATAAAAATGTCTTATTCCTACAAATACTATCATAAGGAACTTGATGTTTTACGTATATTAACTCTGTACCATTGATTCCATGTGTAATCTCTAATAATTAGCACAATCTCTAATTTGCTATTTCATATAAAATGAGTTAATGCCTCCAGGTACATATAAACAGCCAATCTGTTTTAAACTACAAAATATCAGACATCAAAAATTAGTAGCGTCCATAAAACTGAATACAACTCAGTTTTATTCTGATTTCTGTTAGATAGCACATGCATACCATCAACTCATGTTAAACAAGCAGGCATGTTAGATGTGAAGGCAGTGCATCTTCACTTTCATGTTATTGAGCCCTTAAAAATTATTCCAAAAACACAAAAAGCATCACAGAAGTTATTACCCCAACCAGGGTAAATTTCCACTGACCTCCCCCCCCCATTAAAAGAACATACTTATTATTTTGATTCAAAGAACACTTTCTTAAAATTAAATGTACTTTCAAAGAAATACGACCAGTTTTATGCAACTTATTTAGGATTACAAAAAACGATTTTAGAATATGGTTGCTTACAAACAGATTATATAAATCACAGTGTTTTAGAATTGGGAAAAAACTTGAAAAATCATCTAGACCAACTCTCTCATTTCATAGAAAAAGTAACTTGCTAAATTTATAATTTAGGAACACTGATTCCTATTCCAGTGTTCACATTAAGATTCATTTCTTCACAGCATCTTGAACTATATTCAAATTTTCTTTTAACTATTTAAGGAAAATTAAGAAAATTAAGTTGGTTCAGGCATGTATTATATCTTCAAAGGACTAAAGAAAAAATATTAAGTAATCCCAAATAAGTTTGAGTACAAATCCAGCAGCCTAATTTTACTAAAAAATATGGTGGACATAAAAGCATTTAAATATGCAATCAAGCATTAAATCAAAATATCTTTGTTCCTGTCCCTTCATGTTACTTTCGCAGTGCTAGCTTTTTACTGAGTAGCATTATTTACATATATATTTGATTTTTCTACTCTGCCTTTCATTTCTATCTAAAAAACTGGCTTTTGCTTTCAGCTATATCTTGACAAGAAAATAAGGTAAGCCACATACTTTTACCTCCTTAAATCACAAATAATATCTTATATTATTTGTAATTTCACAAAGAAACAATGCCACTGCTTAAAATATCATTTTTTAAAAGTTAAGCATTTAAATGTTAAGCCCATAACTTTTAATAAGTTTTACTATGATAGCCTCAGCTCAAAATATTTGAGTATTTTAAATTTAATAGCACATATCTAATAAACCTAGCTCTCTATTTTCAAATAATTTCCCCTTAAATTGATATTAATCTTGTACTTATTCACAATTTACTTGGCTATCAAAAAGGAAAAAATTGGTGTTTTCCAGTTAGATTTACATAGAGATTTTAAAAATTTGGTTAAAGTATGTATAAGGAGATCAAAATCTTATTGAGTTCTCATAATTTATACTGATTTTTCAAAAAAAGAAGTCACTCTATAGACAAATCTTCCATTTTACTATACTTTGTAAACATCTAGACATTTTCTATCTTACATACATCAATGCTTTAATGTCTATCCACTTTAGTAAAAAGGCAACATGCATAAGAAACATAACAACATGCTACTAAGACCATCTTACCACATCATCTGCCAAAGTTTTTATTTGAATGTTCTATTAAAATCAAAAGAAAAAAAATACCTGTCAGATAATAGAAATTCATAGATCAAATAAATAATTGATGCCCATTTACTTTGTTAACTATAACTAATCAAAAAGAATTAGCAAGTTTAAATATATAACTACATACATTCATTACAAAAGGAAAAAAACAAACTTTTTTAAAGATTAAAAATGAAGATTTGGAATGGGGGTATCTATTTGTTTTTAAAGACTGATTTGACTTCCAAGATCCTAAAGTCAGATTTGGATCAGATACCATTACATAGTGCTCAAACATGAGAAAAGATATAGCAAAGTCATAAGCCCTTTCAAGTTTGTTCAAAGTTTTAGAATGAACAATGTTTCTAAAATAAATTTAAAAAATAGGATGTCACATTTAATAGTAATAAAATAAAATGAAATAGCTGAGTTTAGAACTTATTTACTCTGATATTTAAAAAACTTCCTTTATAAATATTTTAGATAAAATTGAATTAACTGATTCTGATAATATATACTCATTTCTCAAAAACTACAACACTTGTTTTTTGCATGTGGGTTTCTACTTCTAATGCTGAAAAGCAATGAAAATGGTATATCCTAATTAATATAGTGGTTAATACAAAGTACCACATAGCAAAATGGGTACCACTATTTGAAGAACTAGAGTGCAGAAATACTAAAGTAATAAAGCAATATTATATTAAAGCAAAGTAATATTTAATAACTTAGTAATCTTCCATGATTTGGAAATTAATTCCAGAACTTACAATAACATGATCAGCATCAAGGGCCGTTATTATTTTATTATAAATATGTTGAAATGCAATTAAAATTATGCTTAGAAGGAAACCAATTTTTTTAATCACATATTAGGAACTGAAGTTAATCTTTCTGCCACACCCTATACATTTAGTTCTTACAACAGAAGCTGAATGATGTGCATCAACTTGGTCGTGCATGCTCACATCCCTTTGTACAAAGAAAAATGTAGCCATCCTGCTGGTAAGAAGAATTCATTAAGTAAGTGAGAATTATTTGGGTTCATGATATCCTGAAATTTTTCTTCAAATACCACCAACCAAATGCTCTTAAGGATCATCCTCCTCTGGACCAACTAGGACAAATAAATACACTACCATATGTATAGTTCTTTTTCTACTTTTAATTCACTGATTCCCTCAAGGGAATCACTTCTACATTTTTGTACAAGATCTTCATTACAGTCTGCTAACACAAACCTCAAGCAATCTTTATTGTCTAGGAAAAAAAAGAAGGGGGACCTGAAGCCATTTTAAGAAAGATCAATTCACAGTACGACTATCTCTATGTGGCATTTTCTCCTTAATTTTCCTTCTGGGTTAAAGAAAACTTTTATGCACCATGGCAAGCTTCATGACTGCCTATAATATAAAATTAGAGTGAGAAATGTCATCTCAAAAGTACCTCAACTACCCTACTACCATCCAGATATCTACCTGTGTTATTAGTAAGCAGAATAGACAACTCTTCAAGCAATTACTGCTTTTCTTTTCTTTCCATCCATTGAGGTTATAAACTCAAAATTAAAGACACATCTGTATCTTCAAACTGAGAATGTAAATTAGGGGGAATTATGATTTGATTTAGTCAAATTAACTAACTTAAGGTACAAATATGTCTGGAATGCTTTAAATATATATATATATACACACATATATATTTATATATACATATATAAATTGAATGTCTGTTGACAGTTTGATCATGGGGTACAGAAACAAGAAAAAAAAGTATTGCTAGTAATAGTTCCACCTTCTCTTATAGGAAGAAATTGAGTTGTCTTCTCTATCTCACTTGTTTTTTTTTTAGTTAACATGTTTTCTATATTTAATCACACAGTATTGCATTAGAGACTATTAAAGTTGTACAGAATTTAAGATTTAAAATCTTTCCATTTTACAAATAATGAAACTGAAGCTTGAAGAGGCTAAGTGATCTCCAGAACCACAAATCTATGTGGTTACAACTGCATGCTAACTTTCAGTCAACATACAATCTTTTCAGTTAGTATAATCAAGATCTATGATACTAGGACTGAATTACTGAATTGATACAATTCATAGTAATCTCAAATTCATAGATACCCACTTTAACTGTCTTTTCTCATCTTTCTCCAAAGAGCATTTCCCTAGCACCCAACATCCTTCCCCAACACATCTTACATGTAATCCAGCAAGGACCTACAGATCTGTACTCTCTTTGATCTCTAACTTTATTTCCTGCTACAGTCCCTTTAATTCCCTCAGCTCCAGTCACAGTGACCAATTTACTCTTCTTCAACAATGCAATAAAACACATGTACCGGCTCTTCTCTCTGCCTACAGTGCCCTTTTCGATTTCCATATTTCCATATCCATTACTCCATAATCCCTCCTTTTAGAGTTTTTGCTCAATGAGACCCAATCTGTCCATCTTATTTAAATGGAAACACCAAAGTCAGAAGACGGCAGTGGAGTAGAAGGAACCTAGGCTCACCTCGTCCAATGAAAACAACTAGATAACTATCAAATCATCTTAATATCCCAGAAGTTGACATGAAAATTGACAGAACAAGCTCCACAATTAAAGGCAGAAAAGAGGCCACGTCAAAGAAGGTAGGAAGTACAGAGACACAGTTTGGGAGAGAAACATTTTCACTACTGCAGTGGGGAGGGAGCCTCAGTCTCAGAGAAAGGCGAGAGACAGACTAACATACAGGTGAGCACAAGGGGAAAATAAATCCCGGTAGAAACTGGATTGGAAAGTAAAAGGGCTCAATTTCATAATTTCTGACAAGAAGCAGGGCTTAAACCCCGGAGTTTTAAAGGTCAGTGACTTGGCTGCAAGAGAGCCTAGAGGACATTGGGGCTGGTCTTGGAGAGAAGGCAGGCAAATAACCTATGGACAAACAGCATGGAAACAGTGATCTGAAGAGTACCTAGGCCACAAGGTGGGGAGGTTATTTGCTCATTTCAGAATATATCCCAGAGAGGCAGCAAATACCCTCAGAGAATAAAGAAACGGGCAGGTACCATTTCCCTCCATTGCCTTTCTTCATAAGCACAGGGCCACCTACGGGAAATAGCACTATGCCAACCCTTGCTACCTAACTTGCTTACACCAAACCCCACTCCCAATACCTGGTAGAACCACAATTCTGGAAGTGCCACTTTCATTTGCCTCAGTGGCAGCACTGTGGGCCTCCGAATTGAGAAGCCTAGTCTAAACCCCTTCTCACACTGTATCCACCTACTTGGGAGATTTGCAGTCTTGGTTTTGGCAGCAGTGGAAAGGTCTCATTTCACAAGGAGACCAGAGCACACCTAGTCAAAATGGGCCACATTCAGTCCAGGGACCAAACACTGCTCACAAGAGGCAAAGAAAGCCTCTGCAGATGACTGGCCTGAAGGATAAAGTGGCCAGGAAAAAACAGTAAAGTACACAGATCACACTTGGAGACACTCCTGGAAATGCCAGACGCTGGGATAGGGGAAACCACTACCGTGCTTATTCTTCATAAGGTCATGACCCACGAGAACAGGAGTCATGGCTGACTTCCTTAGCACAGAGACACAGCATAAGAAGACACAGAAATGTATCCCTATGAAAGAACAGGGCAAAACCACAGCCAGCAAGTGAAACAGATAAGTAACATGCCTGACGAAGTATTTAAAGCAATGATCGTAAGGGTACTCAGTTGGCTTGAGGAGACAGATATGAGTGAGACAAATAACACAGAGATAATGAATGACATAGCAGAGATAAAGGGCATAAATGAACTGAGAAACATTCTTGACAGAATGAAGAGAAGGCTGGGGGCACCTGGGTGGCTCGGTCAGTTAAGCGTCTTCACTTCATGACCGACTTCAGCTCGGGTCATGATCTCACGGTTTGTGGGTTCGAGCCCCATGTCAGGCTCTGGGCTGACAGCTCAGAGCCTGGAGCCTACTTGGGATTCTGTGTCTCCCCCTTTCTCTGCCCCTCCCTTGCTCACACTCTGTCTCTCAAATATAAACGTTAAAAATTTTAAAATAAAAAAAAAAAGAATGAAGAGAAGGCTGGAAAAATCAGAGGAAGGAACTAATGAACTAGAAAGCAAAGTAATGAAAAATAGCCAAGCTGCACAAAAGCAAGAAAACACAATTGTGCAAAATGAGACTAGATTTAGGGAATACAGTGACTCCATCAAATGTGTAACATTTATAGTACAGGAGTCCTAGAAGGAGAAGACAGAGAAAAGGGGGCAGAAAATGTATTAAAAGAAATAATAGCTGAAAACTTCCCTAATCTGGAGGAGTAGCCAGATATCCAGAATTAGGAGGCAAAGAGAAATTCCATCAAAATCAACAAAAGCAGAACCATACCAAGACATATTGTAGTTAAACTGCCAAAATATAGTGAAAAAGAAAATGTTATAAAAGCAGCAAAACCAAAGAAAACATAACATACAAAGAAAGCCCCATAAGGATAGCAGAGGATTTTTCATCAGAATCTTGCCAAACCACAAGGGAGTGGCATATTCAAAGTGCTGGATCAGCAGCCAAGAATACTCTATCAAGCCAGTCTATCATTCAGAATAGGAGAGATAAAGTGTCCCAAACAAACACTAAAGGAGTTCATGGCCACTAAACCAACCCTGTAAGAAATTCTAAAGTGGACTCTGTGGGTAGAAAAGAGTAACCAAGGGGTGCCTGGGTGGCTCAGTCCATTAAACGTCCGACTTCGGCTCAGGTCATGATCTCACGGTTTGTGGGTTCGAGTCCCGCATCAGGCTCTGTGCTGACAGCTAGCTCAGAGCCTGGAGCCTGTTTCAGATTCTGTGTCTCCCTCTCTCTCTGACCCTCCCTTGATCACACTGTCTCTCTCTCCCTCTCTCAGAAATAAATAAAACATTAAAAATTTTTTTTAAGAAGAGACGCGCCTGGGTGGCTTAGTCGGTTAAGTGTCCGACTTTCACTTAGGTCATGATCTCGCGGTTCGTGGGTTCGAGCCCCGCGTCGGGCTCTGTGCTGACTGCCAGCTCAGAGCCTGGAGCCTGTTTCAGAGTCTGTGGCTCCCTCTCTCTCTGACCCTTCCCTGCTCGCTCGCTCGCTCTCTCTCTCTCTCTCTCTCTCTCTCTCCTAGAAATAAATAAAAACATTAAAAAATTTTTTAATTTTTTTAAAAGAGAAACCAAAAGTGACAGTATGAAGGTATGAGATATAAAAGTAGCAAAAAAATTTTCTGTAAAAAAATTAGTCAAAGAACTCACAAAATAAAAGGATATAAAATATGACACCATATACCTGAATAGGGACAAGAATGGTTTCAAAGTTAAATGACCATCAACTTATTATAGACTGCTATATACAGAAGAGATTATATACAAACCAAATGATAACCACATATTAAAAACCACTAATAAATATTCAAAGAAAAAAGAGGAAAACTGCAGATATATCACTTAAGAAATCAGCAAACCATGAGAGAGAGAAATATAAGGATCAAAGAAAATCTTCAGAAAAACACAGAACAAGTAATAAAATGGAAATAAATACAGATCTATCAATAATTACTTTGAAAGTACATTGACTAAATGCTCCAATCAAAAGACATAGGGTGTCAGAATGTATGAAAAATAAGACCCATCTATATGCTGCCTACAAGACACTCATTTTATACCTAAAGACACCTGCAGATCAAAAGTGAGGGGATGAAGAAACATCTATCATGCAAAAGAATATTAAAAGAAAACCAGAGTAGCAATACTTATATCACACAAAGTAGACTTTAAAACAAAGACTAACAAGAGACAAAGACGGACAGTATATAATAATAAAGGGAATTATACAGGAATATATAACAGCTGTAAGAATTTATTCACTCAACACTGAAGCACACAATAAGTACTGTATTAGTTAATAACAAACATAAAGGAATGAATCAATAGTAACCCAATTATAATAAGGAACATAAATACCCCACTTACATCAATGGACAAATCATCTAAACAGAAAATGAACAAGGAAATAATGGCTTTAAATGACACATGGATCTAACAGATATATTTAGAGCACTGCATTCTAAGACAGCCGAATACATTCTTTACAAGGGCACACTGATTATTCTCCAGAATAGATAACATATAGGCCACAAAACAAGCCTTAACAAATTCAAGATTGAAGTCATACCATGCATCTTTTCTGACAAAAACGCAATGAAACTAGAAATCGCCCACAAGAGAAAATCTGGAAAGCGACAAATACGTGGAACTTAAACAACATACTACTGAACAATTAATGGGTAAACCAGGAAATCTAAGAAGAAACTAAAAAGTACATGGAAACAAATCAAAGTAAAAACACAATGGTCCAAAATTTGGGGATGCAGCAAAAAAAAAAAAAGAGGGAAGTTTATATAGCAAGAAAAATCTCAAACAACCTAACCTTACATCTGAAGGAGCTACAAAAAGAACAACAAACAAAACCTAAAACCATCACAAGGAAGAAATTAATGAATATGTGAGAAGAAATAAATGATATAGAATATGAAAAAAATAGAACAAATCAATGAAACCAGGAGATGGTTCTTTGAAAAAATTAACTGATAAACCTCTAGCCATTCTTATCAAGAAAAAGAGAGTAAGGACTCAAATAAATAAAATCACCAATGAGAGAGAAGAAATAACACCATAGAAATACAAACATTTATAAGAGAATATTATGAAAAACAATATGCCAACAAAATGGACAACCGAGAAGAAACAGATAAAATTCCTAGAAACATATAAACTAACAAAAATGAAACAGAAAGAAATAGAAAATTTGAACACACCTATTACCAGCAATGAAATTTAATCAGTAATCAAAAAAACGTGCAACAAACAGAAGTCCAAGACCAGACAGCTTCACAGATGAATTCTACCAAACATATAAAAAAGAATTAATACCCATTTTTAGAGTTAATATGAATTCTTCTCAACTTATTCTAAAATATAGAAGAGGAAGGACAACTTCTCAATTCATTCTATGTAGCCAGCATTACCCTGATACCAAACCAAATAAAGACACCACTAAAAGAAGAGAACTATAGGCCAATATCCCTAATAAACATAGATGCAAAAATCCACAACACAATACTAGCAAATCAAATCTAACAATATATTTAAAAAATCATTCACCACGATCAAGTGGGATTTATTCCTGGGATGCAAGGGTGGTTCAATATTCAAACCTCAATCAATAAGAAAAAGGATAAAAATCATATCATTATTTCTTTTTTTAATAAATAGTTTATTGTCAAGTTGATTTCCATATAACACCCAGTGCTCATCCCCACAAGTGCCCTTCTCCATGCCCATCACCCTCCTCCCCTCCCCCCCATAC